TCCTACCTAAAAGGGCTAAGGAGGAGAGATGTGCTTCCAGCATCTTAAATCAGAACAGTGTGTTCATTCTTCTACTAAAATGCTACATAATGATTAGATACATAATGATTAGATATTACAATACTATATATCCTCTATCACAATGTACAGTATAACATATATGTTTTTTTTAATGTGTAGGCCTCAGAATCAATAACATTATTTCTATAAGAAAACAAAAGTATGACAAAGCAGAGACTACTTCTATTATTAAATTAATACCTTCATAAACATAAAAATATTAAAGTAAAAACTTTCAAAAATATTTCATAACATAAAATTTAAATAATATGTAAAAGTAGAAAAATAACAGCATAATGAACTTCCTTCCAGAGTGCAGCTTCAACATTTATAAGGCCAATATCATCAGAAACTAAATTTCATAGATTATTTAATTAAATGGGTTATAGTTCTCAAATATACTTATTAATGGCCGTTGTTGATAGATAAAATGAAAGATAAAAGAAAAACTATTAAAAAACACCAAATAATAGTCTAAAGTAAAGAAGCAAATTGAAAATGTATTCCAAGACATAAATTTACCTGGTGTCAGTTAAATAGATTTAGAAATTTGAACTTGAATTAAATTTAGTGAATAGATTTTCTTCTTTCTTGATTTGTTGGATTATCACAGTTAAATTATTCTACAGATTATGATCACCTTCCTACTCTCCATCAGTCCAAACCCAACACTTTTTAATTAAAACTCCAAGATTTCCAACTCAGTACTTACCCTGTTCAATAATTTTAACTGTCATCTCTCATGAAGAACTATGGCATTTGCTACCTTTAAATCACTCATATCCTCCCAATATGTTCAGTTTATTTTCTTATTACTTCATCTCCCCAGGAGAGACGATCAACTATTTCACTTTCAACTCTAATTCCATTGACTCTTCATGAATCAACCCTTGAAAAGCCCAATCCCTGATAACCCTAACTAGCCATTCTTCCTGTCCCTATTTCTAGGTATAAGAGAACTACTGGGCGTGGGGGGTGGGGGGATAGGGGTGGGGACAAAAACAAAGCAAAATTGATACACCAAAAGTTTTTAAAGACTACCCTAACTTATCCATTGCTACTTATTACTTTCTATTTATGCCTTAGATTCTTAGGTACATTGTCCAATGACATTAGAATTTCTTTAAAATATATTGTACTATTCTCACAAAACCAACCAACCCCTCGATGCTTTACATCTCTCCTTAATTACTGACAAGTTTAGTAGTTACGACTGATGAGGTCAACTGTTATTCTGCCAAAATGGAAAATCAGGCCTCAATTTCTGTCTGCCTCTCTATCTTAACATAATCTGTCTTGTTCCATTCATTCCATTACTTTAGAAAATGACTGTTCTTCCTTTCCTCTGAAGAGAACTTTACCACCTATTCTGAAGAGTCCATATTATCCTGACTTTTCAGCGACCTTGTTCTCATGTCTATCCTTTTTGGCAAAATCTTTCCTATTCCACCAGCTACTTGATGCTGTTGCATTTGACAATAACTAATCAATTTTATTTTTATTATAGTCTGTCTCCCAAACTACTATCATGACATTATCCTACTTCTAGTTCTTAGTGACATCTCAAATTGTACCTACACTGATTTCTTTTAAACTCTCCCTTAACACTTAGCATTTCCCTCTCTCCAACCAAGTTTAACCTTTATTCCTGTTTTCTCTGTTTCTACTGGAAAATGGGGTAGGAAGGGGAGTGGAGAAATAGAGTGAGGATAGGGAAGACGTTTATGCAGGCAATTTATAGTTCCTCACATATATTGGGATGGAAAAAAGTTGACAACCACTGCTCACCACTCTAAGAGAATTTATTTATTCTCATCGTTATCATACTTAATGTCTATGTAATATTTCCCCAATTCAATTTTTCTCTATAATTTTGACCTCTTTCCTGAGACCCAGTATATGCTTCTAGAGGAATAATGAACATTTGTATTTTTATGTCCCACTATCACATATTTCCAACCTGACACAATCAAACTTTGACATCAACTTTCCCATCTAAAACACTTTATCTTTTGATGATCCAAGTAATCTCCATTGCCCATTAGAAAATGTGATGTCACTGCCTTCATTTCCTATATCTAAGTAGTGATCAATTCATCATTTAGGCTGTGACAGTAAAGAGAAGGGGCAAAGAATTCCCCATCCAAAAGAGCTAACCTCATCCATTCTTCCTGCTACACTCCCTACAATCTTACCTGTAGTCTAATCTCAAACGAAAAGACCACTTTCACCATGTCATTCCTCTGTCCAGGAATTTATAATGGCTTCCTATTAGCAGCTACATATAAAGTCTAAATACTCCCAGATATGAGTCCTCTGAAATTTGACAACTACCTTCATACCCTCCTATTTATTAATTTTCTCTACTATAGTATTTCTCTACTCTGGTCTCAGGATCCTCTACAGTCCTAAAAAGTATTGAGGAGCCCAAAGAGCTTTTGCCTATGTGGGTTACATCTATCAATATTTACTGTATTGAAAAGGAAAACTGAGAAAAATTTTACACATAAAAATACACAGGCACACATTCAATTAACTGTCAGAGCAATGACGTCATCACATATCATATAGCCTGGAAAACTCCACTGACACTTTTAGAGAGTGAGAGTGAAAAGCAAATAACATCTTAGTATTATTATGAAAATAGTTTTGACCTCTAGAACCCCTGGCTCACTTTAAGAACATCGCTCTATCTGACCTTGTTTCTCTCAATCCTTCTCCCTATCAATCACTGATGATTACTGATGAGTAACTTTTGTGTGCAGCAATAGCATGGAGGTAGAAAGGCGAAAAACCACAGATTTATAAAATAATCTCCAAATTCATTAGCAAGCCTGCTCATTTCACAGTCTAACCCCACCTATCAATTTTATTTGCTGCTACTGCCATTTCCTTTCCCTCCTCCACCATACTCCAACCAAGACTGGAGTCCCCAAATAGAACAAACCTTTTTCTGCTTCAACATCTTCGACTACACTATTCCCTCTGCCGCGTCTTCTCTCACTCATCCTTCAGACCCACTTCATAGGTTACCAATTCTTTGAAGCTTTCTCTCGACACATCCCATCCCCAATTACCCTTTTCTTTGTAATTCCATTGAGGACTTCTCACATCGCACCTTAATTATCGTTCATATATCTGTCTCCCACTAATAGTGAGCTACATAAGGGCAAACTTGAATCTTACTCATCTTTGTATTTCTAGTACCTCACACATAGTGAGAATCCAAACATTTGATCGTTCACTTTGAAGCTATATCTTTCAAACAGTTAGTCTAATGTTCATCTATCCCCAGATATTCCAGCCGACAATACTTGCTACTTCCTCTGAACTTCTGCAGTACTCTGTAGAAACTAAGAAGAAAGAAAAGCCTAAAGGAAAGTTATAACCTTCCCACAAAAAGATGAGAACTTTGGCCATAGGATCAAGTCTAATTCTTTAGTCTGATGTTCAATGGCCTTCATCAAATGGCTCTTCTCCACCATCTCAATTTTATTTTCTATTATTCTCCAATATGAACTTACCACTCCTGTCATCCAACACACACACACACACACACACACACACACACACACACACACACACACTATTCTAGTTTTTCTCTTTTGTTTATACCCTCCTCTCTCCCAGGAATTCCATTGCCTTGTTGTTTTAAAATCTACTTTTCCTTAAAAGTGGGTTCAAGACCCAAAAATTCCATGAAGCTCTCTGAAATTTCTCCTTTTGGGATATCTGTTTCCTATAACCTAGTATTTATAGTGTTTTGTCTTGCATTGTTCTTTAATAATTTCAGATAAGTCAATGCTGCAACCCCAAATAGCTCAACGGCTCTTTAAGAACAGGCACAGTCTTCACTCAAAATATTTGTGTGCTGGTATGTACCAGGTACTGTTAAGTTTTCGAATCTTATTTCTTTTGCATCAATCCTTTCTAGTAACAGGAAGACAAAGGTATGCAATAAATACTATTTCCTTTACTTGATTTTCTTCCTAACTGGTCAGAATAATCCAGGTTGTTTTTTTCCAGGGAACATTTTATCCATAATTATCAATTTGAAAATAAAATGTGTGCTATAAGATATATCTTCTTAGTACCCTAAAAATGCAAGCTTAAATGAGACAATCCATTTATAGGTAACTCACTGAGTCCTCAATATTATTACTTTTGAAGGGCACTTCCCTTTTATTCTCCCTTACCTTGAATATATCTTTTCTTCTTTAGTTCTTAGAATTTGAGCTCCCTTACACATTCTGATGCATAGTTACTGGTAATAGTGCCAAACTATTTAAGAAAAGCCAAAGAAATGAGGCAAGTAAAAATCATGCATAAAATGAAAACATAATCTTTGAAAACCAAGAAGTTATGATAACTGGGTCTCATACCAATGCTTTTCCTTAAATGGAATTTGTCTAAGGGGCCACATCTTCGCTATCACCATTTCCTTAAGTATCCACACCCAAGTGGAGCAAGCATTAGTAAAAAATAGACTAAACATAACCATCAGAACTTGTTTTCTGATAACACGGATTGATGATAACTTCTGAAAATCATTTCCCCCTATTATATACACTCTTTTGCATATGTGATAAAGTCAGTAAGAAGGACTAACATAGGAAAATATTGTTTAAAAATAATCATGGGGTTAGGATGCTCTAAGTCCCAGTTTTTTTGTCAGTGTATCAGCCACACTGAATGTTAAACTCTTATTTAAACACTGCAAGAGAGACCTGAGGTTGCCAGCAATTCTGATATACGTATAATATGCTTTCGCCAAGGGAGTCCCAGAATGAATTTCATGTAAGAAAAGGGAACTGATGAATGAGGAAAGCAAGGAGGAAGCCATCAGCAGATATGCAGCAGCTCACCTCCCCACACCTCCCCCCCTCACCCCGTCTTCCCCCTCTCCAAAGCTGCAGGAAATAAAAAGCTGCAGAATGTACCTTCCAGGCCAGAAGCAAAACATTGAGGATGGCCAGCAAAGGGCAGGGTCCATTCTCATTCTGGGTGATGATGGGTGTGTTCTCTTCCTTCCACTGAATCCACTTGATGTGATAGACAGATTGTCCCGGGAAACGTTCCTTGGAGGCCGCCAGCACCTGAGCTGCCTCCTCCTCCTCCTCCTCCTTGCACAGAGGCACAGCCCCGGGCAACACTGCCGCGCCGCCCTCCTCCTCCTCGGGGACCCTACTCTCAGCTCCTTCCTCACTATTGAACTCGGAGCTACTGGGGAAAGAATGCAGGTTAGAGAACGACTCTAGGGAGTCCAGGCTCGGCGATTCCCCAGGAGGGCTCGGGTCGCTGCAGCTGCTGCTGAGGCCGCCGGCGCTGCTGGGCTCCTCGGAACCCGCGGTCGCCAACTCCGGCCGGCAGGTGCCGGCGGGATCCCAACGGGCGCCCGAGTCTCCCGCCGGACCCAAACCATGGCCCGCTCTGGCCTCGGCTGTCTCCGGGGAGGCGGTCACCTTGTGCTGCCCTCTCAGAGGCACCTTCTGGACAGCAGGGCTCTCCAAATCGCTCTCCTGCAAATCCAAGCCTGGGAAGGAGCTGCAGGGTCCGGGACCCTGAGAGGAGCTGGCGGGAGAAACTGAATCCGGGAGGCTCCTCCAGGCAGCCGCCGCCCCCTGCCCATTCCCGCCGCTGCTCTCTGCCGCCCATACTTCAGGACCATCTCCAGCGGCGAGCCTGGTCTCCTGTCGCCCTTCCTGCGGAGAACCTGTCCCTGGCGCTGGCCCAGTGGCCACCCCGTGTTCTAGCGGCTGCAGGCTCTCGGGGCCGCTCTCCATACCCAGCCGCCCGCCCCTCGCTCTAAAGAGACCGCGGCGGGTTCTCCTCAGCCAGCGCCTCCGACGCCATGACAGCGGCACTGGCAGCTACAGCGCCCTTGCGCGGCCTCGGCCAGGCACGTCACGGGGTAGGGCATCAGGAGCGCGCGCGCGCGCCGCCGCGCGGTCAGCTAACTCTA